TCTTGCAGGAGTCCCCACTGGGTTGGCTCCTGCAAGGGAGTGAGTGACTGGTCACACCTTCCACCTAGAGAAGGGGCAGGTCTGGGGTCTCTCCTGTCTGGGCTCACCTGCAGAGGCTGGGCTGGGAGCCACAACCACAGGTAAAAGTCTTCAGGGTCAGGCACGGCTCAGGATAGGAAAGCCTTTCATGGCCAAGTGAGTGCTTTTCTCAGTGCCCTGCAAAGACAGCCATGGTCACCACACATCAGGTGGCTTCTGTGAGCCAGGCACTGGGCCCAGCCTCTGCATCCCTCCGGTTCTTCCTCCTCACCACAGCAGGAGGCAGCACAGACTCTTGTCATCCTCATCTAATAGATGAGCAAACAGGCGGAGTGAGGTTAAGGAAACTTCCGAAGGCAGCACAGTTAGCTGGAGCTGCACCCAGGAGTCAGAGATGACTGGGGCTGGTTCTTTTTGCTTTGCACTCAGTGGGTTTGAGGAAATGTGGCCTCCAGGTGACATAGGCTGAAGACCTAAAGAGAAGAAGAAAAATATTTCTTAAAATTCCTCTCTGAGTGGAGACTGTGACCAAAAAGAAGTGGGGGTGAGGTTGATAGTCAGCCACCTGTTTTCCAAGGGGGCAGGGTCTGCAAGCTGGGGGTTCCGGCTCTGACCGGGCTGGGGTGTGGGTCACCCCTTGTCCTCTTCACTCTGCCTTCCACACGTGTGCACAGCCTCCCCTACACAGACCGATGTGGCTCAAAGGGGAGGACTTGGTGGGGGGCACAGATGCTATAGCCTCCTTAGTCCCATGCGGCTGGGCCTAGTCCCATGGGCCTCATGGCCTCCCTGCCTGCCCATCTTGGCTTAGTCCCTGCAGGCCAAACAGCGAGGCCTGCTGCAGCAGCTGGACAGCCTGGACCAGGAGCGTGAGGAGCTTCGGGGCAGCCTGGACGAGGCTGAGGCCCAGCGGGCCCTCATGGAGGAGCAGCTGCAGAGCGTGCAGAGCGAGAAGGAGCAGGGGCAATGCCAGCTCCAGGCCCAGCAGGTGGGAGTGGAGCCTCCAGCCAGCTGGGGAGTAGAAGGGGTGGGGTCTCCCTGAGGGAGCCAGGAGGTATTCAGCAGGCCAGGTCTGAGCCTCCCTCTGTCTCAGGAACTGCTGCAGAGCCTGCAGGGGGAGAAGCAAGGCCTGGAGCAGGTGGTGACGGATCTGCAACTGACTGTCTCGGAGCTGGAACGTGAGCTTGTGGAGCTGAGGGAGCGGGAGCGGCTGCTGGTGGCCTTCCCAGACCTGCACAGGCCTGTGGAGGCCCAGATCCAAAGTAGGGGCCCCAGGATGGTGCAGACTGGGCACACTGGGACCCTGGGTGGCAGAATACTACAGTTTGCAACCCCTCAACAAGGGTAGTAGAGCTGGGGTGGCTAGCAGCATGGTCCCTACAGAGCCCCCACAACGTGCAATAGCTTCATGTGTTACGCACTCTGTGTAGACAGGGACATGGAGGCCCAGAGGTGAGGTAACTGCCTGTGGTCACACAGTTGAATCCACACAGGTCTGGCTGCCTCTGTAGCCTGTGCTCATCACCATGTCACATGCCAGTCCTCACTTGACTTCCCAGTGGCCTCAAACCACACCATGCAGCCTGCTCCTGGGGCACAGCCCCAACTGTCCAGGGCCCTGGACCCCCTGGCCCAGGAGTGCTGTGGACCCATCTTGACAGAGGACTGGATGCCAGGCCACCAGGGTTCTCGTCCCAGCCTCCCCAGCCCTCTGAAGCTCTAGGGTGAATCCATTCACAGGACCATCAGGAAGATCCACTGCAGTTTCACTGGTCACGATAAGTCATCTCTCCTGAGAGCTGACTGCAAGCCAGCCCTCCCGTTGCCCTCCCGACTGCCCTGCCAGGCAGGCAGTAGCCTCTTGTTACAAACCCAAAATCAGAGGGGGCAGAGGCTTGCCCAGGTTATGTGAGCCCGAAGGAAGCATCCATCCCCCACGTGGTGCGAAAGAGCAGCTGCATGACTTTGGACGATTCATTGTCTCTCTGGCCCTCCACCGGCAGTCCTTGTCTTATTTGCTAAGTCTTCAGAGAGCCTTGAGTTCCACCCAGTTGTCAAATTCTCTAATTCTATGATCACCTTTCAGCCAGTAGGGGGACAGGGAGCGAGGACAAGTCCTCAGAAGGAAGATGTGAGACCCAGTACACGGGTTCTGCCCAGCTCCTCTGTGCTTGCTGGGCCACCAACCCATGTCTGCCCTCTAAGGTCCTGCCCTATTGGTCATAAGAAGCCCCACCTGGTGGGGCGAGGTGCCAAACCACGTGTCCCTACAGGTTCTGGCAATGTCACGGACGACATGGAGAGACAGGTGCAGGCCAACAACATCCGCATCCGGGTCCTACAGGAGGAGAACGGGCGGCTCCAGGCGATGCTGTCCAAAATTCGGGAAGTAGCCCAGCAGGGGGCCCTCAAGGTGGGCATCCTGGGTCCTCACCTGAGAGGGCCGGCCCTTGGGGACTTGGGGAGGGCCCTGACCCAGCTGAGGTCTTCAGACACCACCCTGGGTACCTGTTGAGAGCCCACCTCATCGCATGTGGCTCCAGGCTACACTGTTGTGAAACATCTTGCACATTTTAAGAAGATAAGAGGATGTTACAGTGCCCTTTAGCTCTAAATCTACACTGCACCCTCCCCCTCACTGTCCCCAGCCCTCTGTACTTTTATTCCAAGTGCAACCAGGAGCCTTATCAGAAAGCAAACCTTCCCACACTTAGTGCAGCTGAAGTGGCCCTGGAAGGCTTCCCAAACCCCGCCCCTCAGAGGAAGGGGCCCTAGGTATAGGTTTGGGCCTTCCCTCACCCTCTCTGGCTGTGCTACCCTGGCTGAACTGTGGGGAGGGGACTCCTGGGGTTTTCTGAGCTCGGCTCTCCTTGCAGCTGATCCCGCAGGACCAGCTCTGTGCCAGTCCCAGCCTGGGAATCCAGGGGGCAGCACCTCCAGTCCAGGCCCGAAGAGTTTCCCCAGGGTAAGTGAGGCTTTGCCAGAGGCAGGGCAGACGGGGGCTGGGCCAGTCCCTTTGGCTCACAGGGGCTCTCGCTATCTTGTCCTCTCTCAGGCCTCCGGGCCGGCAGCACCTGCCTGGCAGCAGGTCTGCCAGTGCAGGCGGCACCCTGCCGAGACAACCCCGGGCGTCTCCACCTCAGCAGTCCTCTGGCCGGCCCAGCAAGTCCTCCATGGAGAATGTGATCCACTCAACCACCTGTGCCCAGAACCCCATCCGGGTCTTGGCCAGGCTGAGGAGGAGACTGTCACCAACCCGAGGTCAGGCTGGCCCTGCACACCAGCCCCAGGAGCGGCCCATGTAGCCTGCAGTGGGGAGGGGTGGGAGGGCTGGTGACTGGCAACCCACCCAATGTAATAAAGCCCTGGCCATCTACCCACAGCGACCTTGGCCTCGCAGCACTGCCTGGGCCAGGAGCAGAGCCCTTCCTTCCCCGTCCTGGGCAGGGACCCCCGAGTCCCCAGCCTTTGCAGATCATCCAGCAGCAGAGGCCTAGCACACCCTGGATACTCAGTGAACGGGAGCTCCAGGAGGAAAAAAGGGCAGAAGGAAGCTTCTAACACCTGGGTCAGGTGAAAGGCAGTTTTTTGATCCCCACAACAAGGGCCAAAGTATAGCATGGACAGTGACACCCCCACCAACCAAGAGCAGGGTCAGCATAGGGGGTATGCAGGGGAAGGAGGGCCCAATGCGAGGACAGTGCGAGGTGGGCCCAATGGGGACATCTAAGGCCAGGAAGGAGTCTGAGACTAGGGTCCGTGCTCTGGGTCCTTGGCACGGGGCAACGACATCTTCCCAAGCCCCAGGTCTGAACTTGGGGGTGGGGATGTTAAGGACCTAAGAAAATCAGCTCTCCTTTCTCTAAGGAACTCCTCACCTTCAGGAAATGTAAGTCACAGAGGGTTTCTCCAGATCCAGGAGGTCACATCCCCAGCATGCCCCTGAAAGTCCCCAAAAGGCCTCACCCAGCCAGCCCCGGTTCTCCCAGGCTTGACCCCTGGGGCCCGGGCATTGATGCCACCAGCCACTGCAGGCCCATCACCGTCCACTTTTCCTCATGAAGCCTCCAGTCTTTCCTGGGTTACCTTGTCTGTGAGGGACAGGCCCTAAGACCTTGCTGAGGACTTCTCAGGGTGGATGCTCCCAGCTCCATATGACATTTTCCCTTGCCAATGCGAGCAGGCAAAGCACCTTAGTTTACAGAGAATGGTCGAGGGTCCATGTGTGCAGCTGAACTGGCATGGCCAGGGTTTGTCCAACTCTTCCTTCTGTGGAGTTTGGGGGTCCTCAAGGGAGGCTGGGATGCCCTGCCCCTCCCCTCACAGGTGAGAGCCAGCCCTGAGGCCGGGGCCTCCCTGAGGTGGGAGGCCTGGGTCTGAGTGCAGGGGAAGGGCCCCTCGAGGCTCAGCTCCTCTCTGCATCCATTTACTGGCTCACAGTCCTGTGGTTCAAAAGTCCAGGCTTTGCTCAGGGTCTGCCAGGTTGCATTCCATTCTGACAGCTCTGGGGAAGCATCCAGGCTCATTCTGGTCCCTGGCAGAATTCGGATCTTGCAGCTGGAGGCCTAGGGTCCATTTCCTTGCTAGCTACTGTCAGCCAGGGCTGCTCAGCCCTTAGAAGCTGTCTGCCTTCCTTGCCACATGGCCCCCTCCACCTTCAGGTCAGCAACAAAGAATTTCTCATGTGGTTGGGTTAGGCCCACTTGGATACTTTCCCTCTCAAGGTCCACGGTGCCACATAACACGACCTAATCACGGGAGTCATAGTTCTGGGGCTGTACAAGGCCTGTTCGTGGGGGCTGGGCGTATCTTGGGGGCTGTTTTATAACCCGCTTCTTGTAGGCAGTAGAGCCCAAGGTGATTTGTTTTTATCTTAAAACAGCCACACAGATTTTACTTATGTTAAAATATATCCATGTTTATTTTAATATTAAACCTCCCCTACCCCAAAACTTCTTTAAAAAAAAAAGTGGATGCCTTTGGAAGATGCACCTCATTTATCCTGTAGCTTCAAGTATCCTGGTCAGCAACCCATCGCCCCACTGAGAAGCACAGGACTGGATGGTTTCTAAGGCCTCTGGTCTCAACCAGGCCAGGAAGAGATCCCAGCTGGACAGGCAGTGGGACACGTGGATCCTAGTGTCCAAGACCAAGGGTAGCAGGCCTCTGAGTCTAACATCCCAGCCTTGACCAAGATGTGTCCTGAAAGATGGTCAGGCCAGGATGCCCCTGAGGCCAGACAGTTCCGTCCCCACACTTTCCCCCAATAAATAAGCACAAAACTGGCCACTGCAGCCTCAGCCCCCAGGGAGTCCTGACAGGCAGGCCAGAGAGTGTCCAGAGCCTTGGGAGCAGCCGTGCTGCTCACACCTGCTTTCCCCAGGCCCCTGCCCAGGGTCCGGGGGCTGCCTTCACAGAAGGCAGACACACACCTCAGGACTGTACAAAAGAGCCCCAAAGGGCCTCTCTTCCTCACTTCCCAGCAGGTCTGGGCTTTGCATCCTCTGCCTGGGGGAGGTGGCACCTCCTTCCCAGAGTGGAAGTGGTGGGGAAGCCCCTATCCTTCCTCCCACCCACAGAGGAGCAGCTATCCTGTCCCAAGAGCTCAGGCCGAGAGCCAGAGCACAGGCAGGAGGGGTCCGATCTCCATGTGTAGAAACCAGCTGGGGCAGCTAATCATCTGAGTAGCTGTTTCCTGCAGGGAGGAGGAAAAACAATAGGGAGGGAGGTGTCAGGTGGGGACCAGATGGAGCCAGCCGAGGGCCCCCACCCCTGATGCTCACCCAGGACGTTGAATTTGCACAGTGGGCAGGTCTGCTGGAGCATCAGCCAGGGGTCCACGCAGTCCCGGTGAAACTCGTGCTTACAGGGCAGCACCCGGAGCCACTGTGGGTGGGAGACGGCGCAGGCCACAGTGGCAGGCCTCCAAGTGGGGGTGCCTGGCCCCATGTCCTCACCTGAGCTTGAGAACTAAAACCCCTGTGGCCTGCCCCCTCAACCCATTCTGCTTTCCTGTCGTGCTAGCAGAGGTAGAAAAGAAGGTCTGGTTGGGGTGGTCGGGGAACATCACAGATAAACCAGTGACTGGCCTCTCTGCCTAGGGCACTAACCTGCTTGTTACAAAAGTAGTCCAAGCACACAGCGCAGGTCTCAGCACCAGGCTCCGGGGGACACTGTGCCGCCCTCCCCAACCGGCAGCGCCGGGTCTTGAGGGATGCCAGTTTTTGCAACACACGGCGGTTGAGCAGGTCCACCTGTGGGGGAAGGGCAGGCACAGTTCGGCAGGCCCGAGCGCTGGCAGCACCAGGACTCCTTCGGGCTGGCTCCCACCTGGCCTCCGGGCTCCCTCTGGCTCTGTCGTGACGCCTGCCGCTGGGCCTGGACCACGAGGCCTGTGCACAGGAGCATGGCCACCAGCAGGATGGCGTTCCACAGCTGCTGCAGGGGCTTCTGTGGAGGGGAGCAGGGTGTCGGGGACTCTGGGGCCACCCCACCCTCTTCCCTCAGTCCATGCACCGCAAGGACCAGGCAGGAGAGACCCATGGGCACTGTATCCCTCAGCACCAAGCTCCTGGCTTCCTCTTCTGAAGCCCTGTCCCAGGGTCTGCCCAGCTGTCTCTGCCCCAGCCTACACAGTGAGGGGGCCCACCCCTGTCCCCAGCCCAGGCCTCTTCTGAGCAGCAAGAGGCACTCATGGAAGTGTCTGTTGGGCAGCCTCACAGACTTCCCAGCCCAGGACCCTGCCACCTCCCCACCCCTATCCTGGACCTGCACTTCCGGTCTGCTTTCCAGCCACCATCACCCACCCACCACCCACCTCTGTCCAGGCTGAGCATTCACACCCACTCTGAGAGGGCACCAGTCCCCAGGGCTGGCTGCCCCGCTCTCCTGGGAGTCTCACATCCCCCCTCTCCAGCTCTCTTCTCTACTGCTTTTTGGGTGTCCTGCTCCAGCCTCACGCACCCATTTCCCACCACAACCACGGGCATCTCACCTGCAGACCTGATCACGCAGCTCCCCCCACCCCTTGACACCTTTCCCCAAAAGGCCTCCTTTCCACCATCCCCGTCCCTGCCTTCAGGAAAAAACCCAAACCCCTTCAGCCTGCCCTCAAGGCCCTCAAGGTTCCACCCCATCCTCCTGTTAATGTCCCTCACTCATTGACCCCTCTTCTGTCTGTGCTTCTCTGTACACTGTGTTCCTCTCAGGAACCCTCTTCCTCACCCCTTCCCTCGGTTAATGTCTTTGGACGCCCCTTGCTCTGGAAGCAGTCCCTGACCACCAGAGTTGGGCGAGTGCCCCCCCACCTCCCCTGCCCAGCCCTCCTTGCACTTCCTCTAAACTTGTGTTCCCTCGAGGCTGCCCTCAGTGGTCCTGCTGGAGGGGGGAAACCATGTTGGACGGGCCTTACTTAGTTTTTGAGAGGCCTCCGAGGTGGGGGGGCGTACTCAGAGCTCCTGGGGGACAGCCCTGACTTAACTGCCACCATACACAGTGTGGCAGCCAGGCTTGAGTACTCAACAGCTGGCACAGGAAGTGATGCGGCCTTGTGAGCGCGACCCGGCCTGCTCGCCACACAGGCACAGGTCGCCCACACAGGCCCACTGTTTCACGGGGTCTGTGGGTGTGCGATGACTAATAAACATGTTCAAGTAAAGGCTTTCTGCATTCTGCATAGCTTTCTGCCATCATGTTCTTCCCCAGCCAATGCTGAAGCTCCACTACCATCGAGTGGGGGAGAGGAGCCAGGAAAATGTTTTGTTGTTAAAAGAGGCCACCAGTCTGGACAAGGTTGGGTGCTGCTGGTGTCATAAGATGCTTCTTTTGCTCAGGGTAGGGACACTCTGGGGGCCACTGTCCTGTCCTCTCCCTGCTGGTTTCTGTGTCCCCATCATCCATTCCGTGGTGGGGTGGTGGTGCCTGCTCCCAGGAAGCTCTCCCCACAATCCAAAGCTAAGCCCAGGTGCCTTCACTATGCCCCAGAAGGCCTGCGCCCACCTCCAGCTCAGCACTTACCCCAGGAGGGCGATAGTGTCTCTGGCCTACCTCCTCCCCAGATGGGGCCCCCATGAGCCAGGGCTGGAGCTGCCCTGCTGTCGTGCCCCCTGCCACGCTGAGCTGGCTGACATGCGGCCGGACTCACTGAGTGGTCATTACAGTGTAAGCTCTCGGGGAGCTCCATGATTTGGAGGGACCAGTGAGCAGTGGGTGGGCCGAAGGCATGGCTGGCCTGAAGCTCTGCTGTAGGCCCAGACGCAGCCTGCCCAAGCTCAGTGTGTCTCGAGGACCTGCAGGTGAGGAGGGAAGGCAGGGCTGGGGCTTGTCTACCAAAGCAGTAAAGGTCACTGGACCTTCTGACACACCAGTGCCACAGCTGGTTCCCAGGGGCCAGAGGGTGGTCACTGGGTCCTGGGGATGGAGCTGAGCGCTGACCCCCAGCAGCCCTTCCGACGCCTCAGCTGCTGCAGCCACCCAACACCTGCATGGCCCCCCGGCCAGCAGTATGGCTGCTCAGCTTTGCCCCCTGTACCAGCCAGACCCGCCTGCAGACTGTTATTCCCACCTCCAGGCCTCTCAGGCCTGCTCCAGCCTGCTTCTCTCCTAGCTCTAGCCTTTATGCCCAAATCTCCTCCTGGCCTCGCCCTCTGACAGCCTCTTACCAAATGTCAGCCCCGCCCAGAGGTCTGTGTGGGCTGCCCTCCAGGAGCAGGCACAGTGGGGCTCCCTTCTCTTTCAGAAAGCCCTCCCATCCCCCCAGCCTCAGTGCCTGCTCCCTCCACAGAGGGAGGGAGCTCCTCTCCCCTGCTTGTCTGAGTCCTTCAAGGGCAGAGCCCAAGCCTTAAAGCCTTTTGTACCTTCCACAGCCCTTCCCATAGAGTCCCTAGTGCCCTAGGATCTCAAAAGTTATTTGGTGACTGATTATTTATTCAAGCACTTGTAACAATAAAGATATTCAAAGTAGCAGCAGCTGCCCATTTGCTCAGCACCTAGCACGAACTTTACATACACAATTCCCTGATAATCCTGTGGCCATGTGCTGTCCTTGTTCACAAACAAGGAACACGAGACCAGAGAGGTTAAACACTCAGCCTGAGGACACTCAGCTAAGATTTCAGAGCCAGGATCTGAACCTAAGTCTGCCAGACTTGAGCTGCCTTGCATGGCCCATGTCCTCTGACACTTGGTGGAGGCTGCATACCATGAGACTGGGGCATTCCCGCCCTGCACAGAGCAGGGACTTGAGAAATGCTTGCAGACAGAATACCTTTGAACCCTCTCGATGCTGAGCATTGGGAAATCCAGAGACAAATAAGACATAGCCCCAGCCTTCAGGAGACGAAGTCATGCTCTCCACACATGGGCTGTCCTGAGAGCCCTGTGAAGGGCCTCACAAAGCGCTGCTGTGATTTGGAAGAGGGAGAGAGGGACTGGGAGCTGCGGGTGCTGGGGGCTTTCCAAAGAAAGCAGGCAGAGTGAGCTGTGGGCTCTGGCTGGATTGGGACATGTGGAGACAGAGAAAAAGAAGTCCATGCCTGCAGAAAGCGTGGCAAGATTTAGTGGCAGGAGACCAGGGAGGGTGTGAAGGCCAGTACATGGGACAAGGTGGTGGAGTGTAAACAGACCAGGAAAAAATAAGTGATCAGGAGAGCTGTGAAGGCCAGGCTGAGGAGGCTGAACTTGATTCTGCAGGCAATGGGGAGCCAAAGGCTTCTGAGTGGAAGAAGGACATGAGAACAGCAGCCACCATCAACTGTGTGTGGCCGTGGATCAGGTACCACCCTGAATACCCACTGTGTCACTGAACACTCACAACAGCCCTAGGAGGTGGGAGAGGAAGTCCTTCCCACTCAGGCAGGGAGTGACCACAGGATTTGAGACAAGGCATGTATGTAGTCCCACCCAAGCCTCCCCTCCCCAGTACCCACCTGCTCCTGGGCCCGGCTGCCACCCAGGCACACCAAGTCCTGCCATCCTCCATAGCCATCCTTAGAGAGGCCACACGTGGTCCACAGTGTCAGCTTCCACTCAATGTTGGCTGACAGGGACTCCCCACTGGTGATCTCAGCTGAGGCCTGAGTCCTCCTGGGAGGGAAAGCCACAGAGGAGCCAGATGGAAGGGCTCTTGGGAGGCGAGACCCAGACCCCCACATACCCTAAGTATCCTGTAGCCCTTCTGCTTTGGCCCCCAGGCCTTTCCCATATATAGGTTTTTCCAGTTCTCATATCAGCCAGGCCAGAGAGGCCCACAAGCCCAGAGAAGAGCCTGTCAATCAGCTTCCTTCTTGCTAGGGCCAATCCCCTCAGCTCACAGAGCCGTCTCCTCATGCCAGGCCCTGCCCGACACCTCCTTCTGGTCTCCTCGTCCATTTTGCAGATCAGTCTTAAGGATAATAGGAAAGGCCCTGGTCCCAAACCTGAGCCCGTGGTGAAGCCAGGGAATCTCAACACCTAGGCTCCCAGGCCCAGTCCTTTGGAGCTCAAACCCCAACTCACTGCAGCAGTGCCTCCAGCAGCTTGGTGACATTGGAAGAATAATGCAGGACGATCACCGGCCTGAGCAGAAGCTGGGATATGTCTAGCTGTAGGGGAACAGGGGAGTCAGCTGGCCTTGGTGCCCCATTCCCCAACCTGTGTGCCCCCAAAGCCTCATCCAATTTACCTCTCGGACCACGTTGTGGTTCAAGATGAGGAGAAGCAGGGCAGAGGCTCCCAGGAAGAGTGCCCTCCGCATCTGCAGGACAGAGAGAGAGGCTGGCCCACACCCTACCCACACCTCACCAAAGCACCTGTCACCACTGTTATTTTTAGCTCCTGGCACCACAGTGTTCCTTTCTTCTGGACAGACTGGTTATAAGCTCCTTCAGGTCAAGAACAGAAACCCTTATTCCTCCTGCCTTTCCCCCAGATGCACTGTGGGACCCAAACAATGCTGTTTTCCCTGGTCCGAGCAGGCAGGCCTGCCATCCACCCCCATCAGGAACTCCCTGTTGGATCTTTTCAGGGCCTGATGGAGCTTCCTGACTCTCTGGCCTCCCCCCACCTGTTTCCACACTACAGTGACTCAATTTTCCAAACTGGGGTCTCTTTCCCCACCCAGGCCTAAGGGTTTTCTAGAAGCTCCTTAGGATCCCACATGGTGCTCTGGCTCTGGCAAATGCCTTGAAACCCCCTCCTCCAACCCCCTTCCCCACATACATCCCCTGCACCTGCTGGACCAGGGCCTTGGGATAGGCCTGTGGGCCACTGCTCTGACTCTCCTGGTGGAACTGGGCCTCCTGCTCCTTGCCCACGTATGCCACTGCAATCCAGTCTTCTACCGGCACCTCCTTCTCAGCATCCACGATGTCCATCTGTGGGGCAAGAGGCCAAAGGCAGAGGGAGGAGGGCAAGTTAGCAGCATCAGGCACACAGGGATGCAAGGCCAGGGTCTGGGAACGAGTTTGGAGGGGAGAGCATCTGGATGTCAGGTTTTAGAAGCCGGAAGGCTGGGGGCCTGGGGAGTCTGGGGAACGGGCGTCGGTCTGCCAGGGCTTGGTCCAGGACGAAGGCAGGTTCTGGGTGCGGGGCTCTGTGTGGCGACCGGGGCCAGGTGGCTCGGCGGCGCTCACCAGCAGCAGACGGCCACCCAGCGGGGGCGCCGGGTCGGCCTCGGGGCCGATCCTGACGCCCTCCAGGACCAGAGCGTCCTGCCGCGGAAGCCTCACGTCCACCCGCACGGCACGGGCCCCTCCACGCCCCGCACCAGTCGCGGGCTCGCTGCCGTCCGCCGCGGCCCCGGGCCCTGCCAGGCCGAGCCAGAGCGGCAGCAGGGGCAACAGCAGCAACAACGGCGACGGCGGCGGCGGAGGAGGTGGCGAAGGCGACCTCAGCGCAGGGCGGGCGGTGGGGCCCATGGTCGGACCCAGCAAGCAGATAATAAAGCAGGGGCACCGGGGGTCCGGGGCACTGGGGTAGCAGAGGGAGGGACTCCGCGGCCGGACGGGGCGGGGCGCAGGGAAGGGGCGGGGCTGTGGCCGGACGGGGCGGGACGCAGGGAGAGGGGTGGGCTTTCAGCAGCTTTGGGGCCCAGACCAGGCCGCGCGCGCCCCCTCGTGGCTGCGGGGAACTCGGGCGCAGGCGACCCAGGAGCCTACAGCACAGCGAAGCCCAGGTCACTGTGCCTGAAGCGGGAAATGAGAGAGGAGTTACAGGCAGTTGGATTGTCAGAAGCCAAGACAGGACAGTGGAGAGCAAGAGAGGTAGTTGGAAGGGGCGGCTTGTGTGGAAGGGATGGCAAGGGGGGATCAGGCTGTAGAAAGGCAGGAACGAGGGATGTCTAGGGGCTTGGAGGCTGCAGTGGCCAGATGGTACCACGATGTGGCCTGGGTTAAATGTTAACCCCCTCTTCCTAGGGCCTGTGTTTCTCCCCCAGACCTAACTCCAGGAGGGAGAGAACCAGAAAACTGCATGGGAGGCAGACAGGAGAGATGGAGGCAAGCGCCGTGGGGTGGCAGAGAGCCAAAAGGCTGGGTCCTCCTGTTTCCTGGGCTGTGAAACAGGCACAACATAAGGCCAGCACTGTCTCTCCCCCAATAAGTAACTTCTGACACCTATCGGGATGTCCTAAAACTCGTCCTTTTCTCCAAAGGGTTACAGCTGCTGAGAGCTGGCTCAGTCTGAAGGCCTGTTAAAAACTGCACTGTGAGCAGGGAGAGGTATATGAGGGGACTAAACGGCAACAGAAAAGATATAATAGAGATTATATATTTTTAAAAAACTTGCACCATGATAAAAGGGCAAAAGCCAGATGAGCCATGACACTCTCTTCCCTAATATTCTATTATGAAAAATATCAAACATACAGGAAATTTGAAAGACTTTTACACTGAACACCAGTATAACCACCAACATTGACTGAATCATCAAGATGCTCCAGAAGAATACAATGGAGAGAATAAGACAGCCTGACATTAGCCCAGAGACAGACAAATGAGGCACCAAACAGAAGCCAAAACATGTAAACACGAGTATGTCAGAGAAAGCAACTCAGTCGGGGGCCAGGGAGGAGCAAGTATGAAGGACTGTTGGACAAACTATGCTAAGAAAACGGGTTAACCATTAAAAAGAAATGAAATTGGCCTCTACCACATGTCATCCACAAAATATCAATTCTGTGTGGACTAAAGACCTAAAAATGGAAAGTCATACTTTAAACATTTTCAGAAAGAAACATAGAATATATTGATTGCTTTAAGATGAGGAGATATTTCTTTGTGTGTATTTTTTTTGAGGAGATATTTCTTATTATGGAAAAGCAGATTATAAAGGCAAAGCTTGAAAAAATTAATCGACAATAAAATAAACAACTCCTGTTAATCAAAACATTGTAATAAAATGGCCAGGAAAGCCACACGTTGGGAGAAGGTATTTGCAACCAAATGATTCATAGGCAGAGTATATACCTGATATGGGCCACGAGATGCAAATAGGCATTTGACAAAAGGGAAACAAGGATGGTTGATACATATGAAAAGATGCTCAGCCTAATCAGGAAAATACAAATTAAAGTCGCTGGCCCCACTGGGGAACCGTGTCTTACTTGCTCCATCCCAGCCCCTGTCTCTGGCAAAAATTTAAGAGTCTGACGATGTCAAGTGTTGCTAGGGATGCGGAGCAATGGGCATAGAGCCTGATCGTATAGCCAGGCTGGAAACTATTTTACATCAGATAAAACCAGATGCACATTCTCAGGAATTCCACTCCTGGGTGTATACTCTAGAACGGTGGTTCTCAACACAGACTGACATTAGCGTCAACTAAGAATTTGCTACAAAATATTGATGCCGACCTCTACTGTAAATCACTTAATTGTTATCTCTGAAGGTGGCAACTTGTTGCTGGAAATGATTAAAACAAAAAAACTTGCAGGCCAGTTGTCTTCCATGTGCAGTCCAGGTTGGGAACCATTTCTTGGGTATGTGCAGAACTGCCCTGTTTAAACAGTAAAAACTGAAAACAGCCCAATTCTTCATCACTAGAAGAGATAAACTGTGGTAACTTCACGTGTAGAATACCATGCAATAGAAAAAAATGAATGAATTAGTTATGTGTATAACCATACCTAATTATTTATGTTTAAATTTTATTTCCCAGTTGCAGTTGACATACGATATTATATTAGTTTCAGAGGTGCAACATAGTGATTAGAGATTTATCTACCTCACAAAGTGATCACCCTGATAAGTCTAGTAACCATATGACACCATACATAATCGTTACAATGTTATCGATTATATTCTCTATACTGTACCTTATATCCCTGTATTTTTATTTTTATTTCTTTTGTCATCTCTTTAAGAGAGAAAGGAAGGGAGAGAGAGAAACATCAATGTGAGAGAGAAGGACTGGGGACTGCACACACCCAGACTGGAAATCGAATCCACAACCTAGCTATGGGCCCTAGCCAGGAATTGAACCCATAACCTTTCTGTTACAGGAGGATGCTCCAACTAACTGAGCCACACTTGCCAGGGAACTATTACTATTTTCATAACTGTGTACTTCTTAAGCCCTTTCAACTTTTTTTAAAAATTCATTTATTTTTAGAGAGAGGGGAAGAGAAGGAGAAAGAGAGGGAACGAAACATCAATGTGTGGTTGCCTTTCACATGTTCCCTGCAGGGGACCTGGCTGGCAACCCAGGCATGTGCCCTGACTGGGAATCGAACTGACGACCCTTTGGTGTGCAGGTCTGCAATCAATCCACTGAGACATATCAGCCAGGGCTCCCTTTCAACTTTTTCACCCATCCCCCCAACGCCCTGGCACATGGCAACCATCAGTTCTCTCTATCTCTGAGTTTGTTTCTATTTTGCTTGTTCATTTATTTTGTTTTCTAAATTCCACATGTAAGTGAAATCATATGGTATTTGTCCTTCTCACCATGGATATTCTAACAGTGCTGAGCACAAAAAGCAAGTCTCGAAATAAGACATTGTACTTAAGCTCAAAGCCATCAGGACTTGCCCTGGATGGTATAGCTCAGTGGATTGAGTGCAGGCCTGCAAATCAAAGGGTCGCTGGTTTGATTCCCAGCCAGGGCACATGCCTAGGTTGCAGGCCAGGTCCTCAGTGATGGGCTACTACACATTGAAGTTTCTCTCCCTCTCTCCTTCCCTTCTCCTCTCTCTAAAAAATAAATAATATATTTAAAAAACAAAAACCCCAAAACTATCAGGACTTACAAGATTAACACACAAAAATCAGTTGCAGTTGTGTTCTATACACTGGCAATAAACAGTCCAAAAGGAATTTCAAACAATAATTCTGTTTACAATAGTATCCAAAAGCATAAAATACCAGGGATTGACTGAAACGAGGTGAGAGACGCGTGTACCAAAAACTACAAAATATTGTTGAAATAAACCAAAAACAACCTAAATAGGTGGGAAGACTTATTGAATTGTCTTATCCTAATGAATTGGTAAGTTTAATTTTGTTAAGGTAGCAAGACTACCCAAAGCAATCTACAGATTCAATGCAATCCCTATCAAAATTCTAATGACCTTTTCTGAAGAAATGAAAACACCCATCCCAAAGTTTATGTGGAATTGCAAGGGTCCCCGAATAGCTCATGTTGTAAAAAGGAGAACAAACTTTGTGCGGTGGCAGTATCGTAGCCAATGAGGTTCATCCAAGGTGTGTTATTACTAATGAAAAACTGTCCCACTACCCCGCCATGACGACTGGAAACATATCTGTCATTGGCAATTTTTGACAGTCTTACGGAGGCTGAATTTTTAAAAGAAGAACAAAGAGGACTCACCATGTCCAATTTGAAAACTTACCACAAAGCTACAGGAATCAAAACCGGAGTAGTACTGGCATGAAGACAGATATTAGATAAGTGGAATAGAATTGACAGAAATAAACCCAGACATCTGTGGCCAATCGATTCTCAAGGAGAGTTGAAAGGGCCAAGGTCAAGAACAGCCTCTTTAACAAATGCTGTGACAACTGGATATCCACATGCAACAGAATAAAGTTGGACTCCTACCTCACACTACGTTCAAAACTTAACTCCAAATTAATGAACAGTGGGAGCGTACAATGGTGGCTCCTGGAAGAATCAAACACAGAATTACCATGTGATCCAGCCATTCCACTTCTATGCGCACACCCCAAAAGAACTGAAAGCAGGGATTTGAACAGTTATTTGTACACCCGTGATCAGAGCTTTATTCATGATAGCCAAAATGGAAACAACCAAAATGTTCCTCAATGGATAAGTGAATAAGCAAATGTTGGTATGTCCACAGGGTGAAGTATATTATTCAGCCATAAATAGGAATGAAATGCTGATACATGCTGTGACATGGATGAACCTCGGAAACATCACACGAGATGAAATAAATCAGGCACAACTTGTATCGCGTATCCAGAACAGGTACATCTGGAGAGACCAAAAGCAGGTTGGTGGCTGGGAAAAGGGGAAATGGTATCTGACTGCTTAATGGATAAGGGTTTTCTCTTAGGGAGATACAAACCTTTGGGACCAGCTAGCGGGATGGTTGCACAACATTATTAAGGTACAAATATCACTGAAGTTTTTACTTTAAAGGGTTAATGTTGTGCCCTGGCTAGCGTAGCTCAGTGGATTGAGTGCGGGCCTGCGAACCAGAGTATCGCAGTTCGATTCCCAGTCAGGGCACATGCCTGGGTTGCAGGCCAGTTCCCATCACGGGACAGACATGAGGCAACCATACATTGATATTTCTCTCCCTCTCTCCTTCCCTTCCCCTCTCTAAAAATAAATAAATAAAATCTGTATTTAAAAAATAAAGGGTTAATTTTGTGTTCTGTGACTGTCACTTCCATAAAAAAAGATGTAGGACTAACTATATGTTTTAGGGATTACATTTACACATAACAAAACTGTAGAGAAAATCAAGGGAATGAGAAACACAGTTCACAAGCTGAGATGTAATTGGGAGGGCAGCCCAGGGCAC